GCATTTACATGTGGGTGCATTAGGTATTTGTGCCCAGTTTGGTCCAGTGAATGAAAATACATCTTGCATATCCGATATTTACATTATGATTTACAACAGTAGTAAAATGACTGTTGTGAAGTAGCAACAAAAACAATGTTATGGTTGGGGGTCACCACAACATGAGGGACTGTATTAAGGGGTCACGGCATTAGGAAGGTTGAGAACCACTGGTTTAGATCCAGACTACCTGAAAGCCCAAGATCTCCCCCAACTGAGCCTGCCTTGGATTTAAAATATTCAGATGAGAGAATTCTTTCGACCCAGCTGCAAGCTTATCTGGCAAAGACACGGGAGAGAAACGTCTTTGTCACTCGTCCTTAGCTATGGAAACTCTTCCCAGGGAGGTTCAGTTGTCCCTCTCTGCTTGAAATGTCCCCATTCTGGCATCAGATAGCAGGCAGATACTATTCCTCTTCCAAACACCCTGTTATTTGGTTTCTCATGGCGATCTCCATCCAAGTTTACATTTTCCCACAAGTCACCCATATCCTTGGCTGTGCAAGAAAACCGGCCCCATGCCAGCCACAAATTGTTGATATCCTAGCGACTGCCCCACCTCCAAGCATCAAACTCTCCTTGAGATCCTGCAGCGCACTTCCAAATGTCTCCGAATTCAGTTCCTTAAAAATAGCTCTTACAGCGTTTCCACCACTCCTGTGAAGCCTGCCTGGTTTGTAATTTCCGCTTGCGTCCCCAGACATCATTAAATAGAGTAATGGAATTGAGTTATTTACTCCTCCATCCTTGGGGATCGTTCCATCACATGCCAGAGCTTGGAAATGACTCCAAAAACCTCTTCTGCATGCACTCATCCTAGATTTGTCGCATGGATGTAAATATATGTCCTTGGTTGCTATGTCGATTTTCAAAGCCTCTAACCACGCTGAATCCACATTTCCTATGTTATCTGAACCAATCCTAATTTGTCATCTGCTGTCTCCAGGAATCGGATCTCCATTTTGGACAAATTGCTGCCTTCCCTGTCAGAGGAGCATGTGCAAAAGTCATTCTCTCATAACATTGCTGGCTCTTGCTGACCCTGATTGTGATCAAGTGTAATCCATCTCCCTCATCCTCTCAACTGCGCAGCTCCCAGTGTGTGCAAACAATTGCCTGCATAGGTTTGGACTGGCCTTCTTCAAACCGACATCTTCCTGATGTGTTGGACTACCAACTCCATTATCCTTGCCAGAATTGCCTTGTTAATTTGAAATGTTGAACGTTCTCATTTAATGTATCTGAAGAATACCAAGTTGAGTTCTTGATGAGCCATTCTTGTGTTATTTATTTATTTGTTTGTTTACTGGCCGTCCCTTGCCAGGCATTGCTGTGGCCCAGTCTGGTGCTTTTTCAGTGTTTTTATGTGTGATGGTCACTCGTTGGCCCGATAGGTGTATTGTGTCCAAATTTGGTGTCAATTCATGCAGTGGTTTTTGAGTTATGTTAATCCCACAAACGAACATTACATTTTTATTTATATAGTTTTACATCATTTCTATCTCGCCCATTTCAGCCCGAAGGCGACTCAGGGCGGTGTACAGACTGGCAGCAATTAGATGCCACACACACACACACACACACACACACACACACACACATCAGTTAAAAGCAATTAAATCACATCATAAATACATATAAAATCCATAAAAACGATAAAAACTATAAAAATCTACTAAAAGCCAGTGTCTTCCAGACCAATTACTCATCTGTTTACATCGTATTGGCCGCTCCGTTTTCGTATTACAATTTTGTATTTATATTTATTTATTTATTTATTTATTATTATTCAAACTTATATGCCACCACTCCCCTGGGGCTCGGAGCGGCTTACAAGAACAGGCTAAAATCTAACACAATTTAAAAACAATTTAAAACAATTTAAAAACAGCAATATCAAGATCAAAGGCCTGTCGAAACAGATATGTCTTACATGCCCTACGGAAAGCTGATAAGTCCGCAAGGCACGGACTTCAGGTGGCAGAGTATTCCAGAGTGATGGTGCCACTGCTGTGAAGGCTCTGTCTGGTTGCTGTTAGACGCAAGGTCTTGACACTGGGACTTCCAATAGATCTTGGTCCTCAGAACGGAGGGATCTCTGGGGTTGGTAGGGGGTGAGGCGGTCCCTCAGGTACATCGGCCCCAGACCATGCAAGGCCTTAAAGGTGAGTACCATCCCTTTGAAAGTGATCAATGTGTAACCAATGCAGCTGCAGTCAGATTGGTGTTATGTGGCATCTCATCGGAATTCCCGCAAGAAGCCGAGCAGCTGCGTTTTGTACCAACTTGAGCTTCCGGATCACCGACAGAGGAAGGCCAATGTAGAGGCCGTTACAGTAGTCCAGTCTTGAGTTGACCGTAGCCTGGATCACCGTAGCTAGGTCATCCCTGGACAGGGAGGGGGCCAGCCTTCTAGCCTGCCACAGATGAAAAAAGGCGGTTCTGCTAACGGCGGAGACCTGGGCCTCCATCGTCAGCAGAAGGTCCAAAATGACTCCCAGACTCTTTACCAATTTTTCTGGTCACACTGAAGCTCCAAAGCTTGGTCAAGGAGCCAATTTACACCCTTTCCTGAAAAGTCAGGAGGGAAGGGGCCGATCTAATATCCCTGGGGAGAGAGTTCCACAGCCGAGGGGCCACCACTGAGAAGACCCCTGTCTCTCGTCCCTGCCAGACACGCCTGTGGGGTAGGTGGTATCGAGAGCAGGGCCTCCCTGGATTATCTTAAATTCCCAGAAGGTTCATAGGGAAAGATGCATTTGGATAAATAAGCTGGGGTAGAACTGTTACATGTCTTGATTCAGTGTGATACCCATGAGTCTATCAGTGTCTGAAAAATACAATAGATAAGCATGCATAGATGTGTAACCTCTTCCTTTTCCATCAGTGGTGGTGAATGTGTGACCTACAGCAGTGGTTCTCAACCTGTGGGTCCCCAGGTGTTTTGGTCTTCAACTCCCAGAAATCGCAGCCAGTTTACTAGTCGTTAGGATTTCTAGGACTTAAAGGCCGAAACATCTGGGGATCCACAGGTTGAGAACCACTGTTCTAGATTATGCTGGACTGCAACAGTTTTGATCAGCATTATCTTTGTGGAGGGATCATAGGAGCTGGAGACTAATAATATCTGGAGGGTGTAGGTCCCCTCTGGTTACCTTACACCTTTATGGTATGTTTCTGAAATATGTCCAGCTTTATGGATTTATGGATGACGACGAAGTAGCAACAGTAAGAAC